ACAAGTTGGCACTCCCACCAGCAGTGGAGGAGTGTTCCTCTTTCTCCACATCTTCTCCAGCATAAACTGTCATTGGTGTTTTTGATTTTTGCTATTCTGACAGGAGTAAGATGGTATCTCAAAGTTGTTTTGATTTGCATTTCCCTGATGGCTAAGGATGTTGAACACTTTCTTATGTGTCTTTCAGCCATTTTAGATTTCTCTATTGAGAATTGTCTATTTAGTTCTGTACTCCATTTTTTTAATTGGGTTGTTTGGTGTTTTGGAGACTAGCTTCTTGAGTTCTTTGTATATTTTGGAGATAAGCCCTCTCTGTCAGATGTGGGGTTGGTGAATATCTTTTCCCAGTCTGTGGGGTGCTGTTTTGTCTTGCTGACTGTGTCCTTTGCCTTACAGAAGCTTCTCAGTTTCAGGAGGTCCCGTTTATTAATTGTTGATCTCAGTGTCTGTGCTACTGGTGTTATGTTCAGGAAGTGGTCTCCTGTACCAATTAATTCAAGGGTATTTCCCACTTTATCTTCTAATAGGTTCAGTGTGGCTGGGTTTATGTTGAGGTCTTTGATCCATTTTGACTTAAATTTTTGTGCAGGGCGAAAGGCTTGGGTCTTAGATATAACTCTTTTAAAGGACTTATTATAATGACAGTATCATTGGGTTAAGAAAACAAGCTCCATTTTTTTTCCTGTCGATGTTTTTTTCATCCATCTTACTATGTAATTCAAAGATGTGCCAGTCACCAGGATCAACTTGCTTTGAATTAAGTCCCAGAAACAGATTTAATCCAATTACCATTGATATTTGCATTAAACAGGAAAATATCCAAAAAATCAAGCTGCTTGACTCAAAATTCTGAAAAGATTAAGTCATTTAAAGGAAGTGAAGATGCAAGATCCAAGGTGCACTTAAATTTTACACATTTGAATTCTCACTTGTCTGGGAAACAGTTGAAAATGTCTTTTACTAATTGGAAATTTTCAGTCCCAACTTATTAGAATTCAATTTAAAAATGCATAAAATAGCTAGGTGGTCATGGCACACGCCTTTGACCCAGCACTTGGGAGGCAGAGACAGGTGGATCTCTGAGTTTAAAGCCAGCCTGGTCTATATAGCAAGTTCCAGGACATCTAGGATTACACAGAGAAACCCGTCTCAAAAGAACAAAACCAACCAACAAATAAAAGGAATAAAATAAACCCAATCAAAATTGTGTAACAAACAAAAGTGATTATTTATAATTTTAAAAAATATATCCCAGCTAGGCGTTGGTGGTGTACTCCTTTAATCCCAGCACTTGGGAGGCAGAGACAGGCAGATCTCTGTGAGTTTGAGGCCAGCCTGGTCTACAGAGCTAGTTCCAGGACAGGCTCCAAAACAACACAGAGAAACCTTGTCTCGAAAAACCAAAAAAAAAAAAAAGTATATATATATATATATATCCCTTCAAACAGTGAATTGATCTTGGTAACAATGTTCAGTACTCCAATTAAGTAATATCATAGTTATTGTTAGTATTCAAGAAAAAGTATATTTATAAGATGAGTTTTGTCTACAAGTGAAAGAAGATTTTTTTTTTGTGAAAGGAAATAGCAACATTGAAATATTAAGATTTCTCTTAAATATAGAATTAGAGAAAAATTTTTACTGTAAGAAAAAAAGTAAAAATATATTTTGGAATTCAAGAAACAATCACTTTAAACATTAGATATGAAAAAGATAAACACTCTGAACATATAAATGTCAAAAGTGTTTAGTTGCTACAATTACTCCATAGTAAAAATTCCATCAAAGTTAAGTTGATATGCTTCCTAGCCTTGAAACAGGACAAATAAATTTCTGGGTTTAATGATGATGACAATATTATAAGATATCAAAAGAAAATAAAAAAGATAATGAAGAGTCAGGCCAATGCCTCAGAAAGAAAGATTAGCAGCAAGCAATTTCTTGGTGTGCAGGCATGCAGAAAGTTGGCATTATATTTCTATCTACAGCTTATGAAAGATGCTGTATGGCTTACACTAATATTCTTACTCAATTATAACTGAGTGCCATTCGCCACAAGTGTGTACATACCTCTAAAAGAATGACACTTTAAGGAATATGGAGAATTGCCTTATTTATAATCCTGCTTGATTTTCTATTTTGATTTATAGACCTAAGAATTATTTTACATATGTGCATTCTTAGCTTTCTCCTAAAATAAATTAATACAATTTTATGGGGGATCTCAGATAAAAAAAACCTTCCATGTAGAATTTAATAATAATGACCATTAGCATAGATCATTATAATTTTTGCTTTTAGTGTGCAATATATTTCAGCCATTACCTTTTTATGCATAAAATTTGTATATTTTAAAGATTACTTAAAATTTCTTGAAGAATTATGTCTTAAAATTAATCAAAATGAGAATTGAATGTATTTTCCCATAAAATATTAAAATTTACAAACCTTTTTCCCATTTCCTAGATATGACACAATTACATATCATAGTGACACTCATCCTAAAGG